TCCCACATACTATTTTAATGTGGGCTAAAATAGTCCTAACAAATGACAAAATTTCTCCGATTTTTTCTAATAGAGCTTCTTTATTCTACCTCGAGAATTAGAAAGGATTACAATTCTCATTCCACCTAAAATCTTAGAAATTTGTTGATAGTTGGAATCTATTCGTAGCTCAGGTCGGCTAATATGCTTTCAATTAATTTTCTTACCTTTCCTAGTCTTTCTATGTTGTAAGGTTGAAAACAAAAAATTTTTGTTGACTTTCTTGATGTTTTCCTAGTTCAGCCTTAATTTATAAACTCCAGGCATTAATTTGATACTTTTATAAGCTCTTTTTATAAGCTCTGGGAATAAAATGATCCCATGTAAATAGTCGAAGGATTATTTTGACATTTTACTCCACACGAGCATATATGCAACTTGTCCAGCTTAAGAAGTTGCACACACAATTTGCATTTTACTCCACACGAGCATGTATGCGGTTATGACCACCTTCATACGAAAATCCCATCCACTTTCTTCATAGCAGGAAGATTAAGTTTGGCACCATCACACAAAAAGTCCCACATACTATTTTAATGTGGGCTAAAATAGTCATAACAAATGACAAAATTTCTCCTGCGATTTTTTCTAATAGATCTTCTTTATTCTACCTCGAGAAGTAGAAAGGATTACAATTCTCATTCCACCTAAAATCTTAGAAATTTGTTGATAGTTGGAATCTATTCGTAGACCAGGTCGGCTAATATGCTTTTAATTAATTTTCTTACCTTTCCTAGTCTTTCTATGTCGTAAAGTTGAAACCAAGAAATTTTTTTTGAATTCCTTGATGTTTTCCTAGTTCAGCCTTAATTTATAAAGTCCAGGCATTAATTTGGTACTTTTATAAGCTCTGGGAATAAAATGATCCCATGTAAATAGTCGAAGGATTATTTTGACATTTTACTCCACACGAGCATATATGCAACTCGTCCAGCCTAAGGAGTTGTACATGCAATTTGCATTTTACTCCACACGAGCATATATGCGGTTATGCCCACCTTCATACGAAAATACCATCCAATTTCTTCATAGCAGGGAGATTAAGTTTGGCACCATCACATAAAATTTGAAGTTATAAAGAGAGGATGCAAAGTTTCTAGAGATATACCAGACTAGCTTACCTAACAGAGAGCTAAAAAGATGAAATTAAAAAAATATTACAGCTTACCTTCCATTCTTCAAAAATCCCAAATTGTCTAGCAATTCTTTCAAAATCTAACTGATCCTTATATTGAATCCGCACATCACGGTCTACGAATTTCGCCTTCAAAGCAGTATCAGGTCCAGGGACTGATACGGCATCTGACACGAGTTTTGCGAAGTGCTTTTGATATTCTCCCTGACAATGTTGTATAAGTAAATCAAAGTCGGTAGTGGAAAATTCATAGATCTATCTGAGTTATTAGTTACAATGTATTACCTCCATCATGTAGCTCAGATCCATTGATTTCCAGTCAACCTTTCATTGTTACAAAGCATGGAATCATTATCAAAATCATAAGGGGCTTTTACATACATAGCACCCAATTCCTACGTATTTACATATCTAACATCAAAATTTTGCTTTTTACATTCATATCACCCACATCAGAAATAACAATTTTTAACTTTTAAACGTGAAGTATGCTTTTTTTAAGAATAGGAAAGGTGGTTATATATGTAAAAATTGAAGATTAGGTGTTAGATATGTAAAAACATAGGAATTAAGTGTTATGTACGTAAATCTGAAAAAAAAATAATCCTTAAGCAAGCACAACCAAAAAATCAATATTTATGGACTTTTTCACCTACTAGAACATCATTTAGTTTAATGGCCTCCAGATATTGCTTAAAGAATTGTCCCATGCTAGAACCCTGAAATGACACAAATATTATAAAATCAGCATAATAATCTGCATAACATCATTAAAATATATCATGTGCAAAGATCAGCAGCATTCAGAAAAGTTATTGAAAATTAAAGAATAGCATCAAACCATGGTGAAAAAAAGTTCTGGAATATTCAAAGGAAACTTAGAAAAATAAGGTACACGACAGCAACAAGCATTTATCCTACTAAGTAGAGTCGGATACATAATCCTTTTTCTCCCACAAAAACAATAACAAAGGAAACCTAGAGAAATACGGTCCAGATTTAAAATAAATCAAAAAAAAAAAAATCATTGGTATGCATCATGTTTGCACTTTCACAAATTCTAACTGGATAATGCAGCAACTAGAATAGAATTGAACCAGCATTCATTTGCATTCAATCCCAATCAAAACTAAAATTGATGTATGGATCGGCGAGTTCTCTGATCAAATTGGTTACTTTTTTGTTAAAATGGATTTGTTAAAGATAATATAAACTAATTAAAGTTAATATTTTATTAGTTTAGCTCAAAATAACATCTCACAACTTACCGACTTCCTTAATTCTTCCATCATATTGTGAAAAAATTAAAATCTTTAAGCTTAACCAAGAATTTTTTTTTTCAAATTGTACTAGAAACACAAATCATGATAGTGACAAAAGATATAATAACTTTGCATCCTTATCCATCAATTTTGAACATCCATGGTGTAAATCATGTTGTACACCACCACAAAAGTTTCCACGGTATGTATCGTAGCCTTCCGGTAAATCATTGCATGTTCCATTATGGCATCTGTGGAAGTATGACTAACATCCTTCTGGAAACAAGAATCATGCATTAATATTCAAATCTTGTATCAGCAGAGTAAAGATATGCCACACTCCACCAATGATAGCTATGAGTAGGGGGGTAAAAGAGCAGAGCTTGAGCGAGTTCAGAGCTTATTCGTGTTTGGCTTGTTTCAAATTTCTTTTGTTCGAAAAGAGCTCGTGATAAAAAAGGCTCGTGAATATGTTCGTTTTTGGACTGAAACAAATTTTATTTGTTTGAATTAGCTCATGTTCGGCTTGAATTTCAGTAGGGGTGTTTACATACACAGCACCTAATTTTCAAGTATTTACATATCTAACACCTAGGAGCATTTACATAAATACTGCCCTATTTTTATGTATTTATTATATCTAACACCTAAATGCAGAAAAAAAAAAACAGCAGAATTTGGAAGTTTTCTAAAGGAATATATACCACTCAATTCTCATGTGTTCACATATCTAGCACCTAAATTTTACTTTTTTATATTTCTACAAAGTGAAATTTTGATATCATGTCAAAGATATTATTATTTTAATTTTACATACTATCTATTTATTATTTAAATAATTAGAGCCAAAACGAGCTGAACATGATCGAATAAATGCTTGTTTGTGTTTGGCTTATTTATAAATCGAGCTAAAAAATTTTGCTCGTGTTCGGCTTGTTTGCTTAAAAAATAAATCAAACACGAGCTATTCACAACGACAAAACATGTTTGACAACCCTAGCTAGCTCTAAGTGTACCTTGTAGCCCTTCCCATGGCCCAAGTCTAGTCATGCTCCACAATGGAATCTACATAGCTTTCCTCATTGCCTTAAAACACCAAAAATCTTTTGCCAAAATCATGAGAATATGAATTCACCCATTACACTATTTGAACTATCACACACACACACACACGCCTCATATCTATTTATATATATATATATATATATATATACACTCCAACGTATGTATGCCTTGTTCAACAAAAATGCCCCGAGACCTCAAGCATATATATACATAAAATAGTGTAAACGCACACCCAGTTAGACAATTGGTACATGCTTATCACTTTCAAATATACCAACGCAACAAAATAACAAAATTGATTACTATTAAAAATAGAATCCAACATAATTGTTGCGTGCTAGAGAATTTGAAGCGTTAGAAAATATATTAATGTCTTAGAATTCTACAAAAATTCAACGCACAAACACAAATAAAGGAAGAACTGACATTGAAAACACTAAGGGTTCTTCTGCGTAAAAAATTCTAATTGAATTCTACATTTTTATCTTCGTGATTGTTGGAAAGTTTTACTAAGCTAAGACTTGAGATTTCTCAGTCGTTGAGAACTTTTTAACACACAACAATCATAATCATGATGGTCAAATCGTTCTGCAAGATCACAAAAAACAAAGCATACATACATGCTCACCAAAGTTGTATGTCCTGCAAATTTCAGGATGAACAAATTGACGATCTTTGTGCACATCCTTCAACCTTATCCAATCATCCCAATAAGTATGACATGTTAAGGAAATATATTTGATTCTTTATTAAATAGCTAGGAATTAATGAGTACAAGTCCAATCCAATAAATAAGATATAGTGAAGAAAAAATTAGGATATGCTTTAGGCCATTTTGGCGTTAGCTCCTCCCATGTGGCTTTCAACAACATCCATCCAAGTCCAGGAAAAAAATCTGAACGATAAAGAGCCTCTGCAGAATGAATTAACAAGCAGCATGAACATGATGTCCAATAAAAAGACATGAGAACTATCTCTGGATAAACGGGAAATAAAAAAAGGAATTTTGCATATATACCACACAATTCCTATGTATTTACATATCTAACACCCAAAGTTTCATATTTACACTTGTAACATCTTGGCATGAGAAGGTTTATCTCACTGGTAAAAAAGTTAATGATGGTGATATTTTTTATGTGATATTAAGGATTTGGGAATTATGCATGTAAATATGAATGTTTAAGTGTTAGTATTGAGATTTGTATCTAATGTATGGTCATATTTGTAAATGGATGAAATATAGGGATTTATTTGTAAATGTACCTTGTAAGGCTCTATATAAGCCCATTATGAATGAAATGAATGATTATTTGAGCAATAATTTCTATTTGGTATCAGAGCCAAAACCTTAGCCGTTGCTGCAGTGTGCTATGCGTGGGTTACGGCTTTATCAGTTCGAGCGTAGAGCGACACTGTGCGAGGAGATGCAAAAGAAGGGAGTTTCGAGGCATTTGCATTGCGCGAACCGTCGCTGCTGTCCAGCGAGCCCTAATTGCAACAGTTGGAGTTTCAAAGGTCCTCGTACTCAGCAATCCCTTAGTTTGTTGTTAAGCAGAGGGGCTTTCGTAGAAACACGAAAGTTCAAGTTGCTTCGTGTTGAACAGAAATTAATGAGGGCTTAGATTAGACATATAAAGCAAGGAATAGTTAAATCCAGGATGTCAAGAGAAGGGGATGGTGCAGGAGGTAAAAACGTGGAACTTTTGGTGAAGATAGGTCCTGAAGTTTTGAAGGTCTTGATCGGCCTCATACAAGGAGCTAGCGTCTCAACAGGGACCACTACCTTAGCACGTGCTCCGACGCAAGTAAACTAGATCCCCCTTCCGTGGATCTGAAGCTTGATGGACCAACCATGTAATTGAATTGGTCGTGTCAGATCGAGGTTGCTTTAGTAGGGAAGAGACTAAAAGGATACCCGATAGGGGTCAATCCAAATAGTGACAGTGTTGAGGGGATGAGTGGAGGACCACACATACATTGATTTACACCCGGCTACTCAATTCGATGGTTCCATCAATTGCAACGTCAGTGGATGACGTTCTAAAGGTAATTGACATCTGGGCAAAACTTACGAGAACCTATGTTGGGACTGAGAACCACATGAGATTAAGCGTGAGATAGAGCAGTGACCCAGGGAGATAGAAGAGGTTTAGGAGTACTCAATAGACCTTGAGCGGCTGTGACATGATCTCGATCACTTCTCATTTATGTTGAGCTATGGTGATCCAGGGTGCAAGAAGGGAGAGATCTTTGCACATCTGAGGACTATACAGTCTCTGACTCATCTAAACCCAACCTTTGACCAGAGAAGATCAGTTCTTCTAGCTCGAGCGACTATTCCTACACTAGATGAGGCCATTGCTGCGATGATACAGGAGGAGAGTTGCATGAAGCTACACTCTGAACCGAGTGATTTTTCTAGTGCACGATCAGCATTGGCTGTTGCAAGCCGAGGTATGCTAGGTATCCAGGGAGAGACTTGCAAGTGCTACAATTGTGATGAAGTTGGGCATCTGAGCATGGTCTGTCCTAAGCCACCTAAGAAGATAGAGACAGGTGGTCGTGGACAAGGTGGAGGTCGTGGTCATGGTCATGGGGGTCAGAAAAGTGGAAGAGGGTGCTACCAGACAAATATGATGGCAACAAAAGACGAGGGAAAGATATGTGTGATATATACTAGTGATGATCATGAGTGTTTGGAGCTGTTGAAGAGGAAGCAGAAAGCAGCAGGATATGGAGTTTAGGATGTTTCAAATCCATTGAGATCAATGAGTAACATCGTCACTTATGCTCACTTCAGCAAAGGTATTGGTGACACACTTGCTCTTGCCTCTATATCCACCACAGAATCATCAAAATGGACATAGATTCGGGTGTTTCATGTCACGTGACATGAACTACTGGAGAGTTCTCTTCATATACTCATCTACCATTACCAAAAAGTATACACACTGTTGATGAGTTGATGGTGCAACGCAACCTGTAGTTGGTAAGGGTACAGTGAGATGTATCAATCATATGACTTTGTCCAATATTTTGCATGCTCCTTCTGTTCTAGTAGACCTCTTATCGATTAGTGTCATTATTCTACAGCTAAAATGCATTGTTTCTTTTGATATTCCTCAGGTGATCTTTCAAGAGAAAGAAATAAGTCAGACACTTGTGATTAGAACGTGACATAACAAACTCTGGTACTTGGGCCGAGAGGGGATTGACTCAATAGTGGCATCCATGGTGGAAAGTGCTGCAGTAAGAGAATCTGGAATGAACGACGAGTATGTGTTATTTTTACATCACAGACGTATGGGACATTATAATCTTAATTTACTAAGTTGGTTGTATTTTATCTATATACCTATGTATGAAAAGACAAATAACGAGAAAATGGTGTGTGATGCTTGTGTGTTTGGCAAGTTCACTAGGAGCTCTTATGTGAATTCTAGGAAGAGGAGTTCTGGTGTGTTTAGGTGATTGTTGATGAGTGGAGGACCACACATAACCACACATACATTGATTTACACCTGGCTACTTAATTTGATGGTTCCATCGATTGCGACATCAGCGGATGGCATTCTAAAGGTGAATGACATTTGGGCAAAACTTTAGAACCTATGTTGAGACTAAGAACTACATGAGATTGAACATGAGATAGAGTAGTGGTTCAGAGTGATAGATCGATTCAGGAGTACTCTATAAACCTGGTGCGGTTGTGACATGATCTTGATCACTTCTCATTTATGTTGAGCTATGGTGATCCAAGGTGCAAGAAGGGAGAGAACTTTGCACATATGAGGACTATATAGTCCCTGACTCATCTAAACCCGACCTTTGACAAAAGGAGATCAATTCTTCTAGCTCGGACGACTTTTCCTACACTAGATGAGGCCATTGTTGTGATGATACAGAAGGAGAATTGCATGAAACTACACTCTTAACCGAATGGTTTTTCTAGTGCACGATTAGCATTGGCTGCTGCAAGCCGAGGTATGCGAGATATCCAGGGAGAGACTCGCAAGTGCTACAACTATGATGAAGTTGGGCATCTGAGCATGGTCTGTCCTAAGCCACCTAAGGAGGTTTAAACAGGCGGTCGTGGACAAGGTGGAGGTCGTGGTCGTGAAGAGGGGGCTACCAAACAAATCTGATAGCAGCAGAAGACGAGGGAAAGATATGTGTGATATTTACTAGTGATGATCATGAGTGTCTGGAGCTGTTGAAGAGGAAGCAGAAAGCAACAGGAGATGGAGTTTTGGATGTTTCAAATCCGTCGAGATCAAGGAGTAACATTGTCACTTATGCTCGCTTCAACAAAGGTACTGGTAACACACTTGCTCTTGCCTCTATATCCACCACAGAATCATCAAAATAGACATAGATTCAGGTGTTTCTCGTCACGTGACAGGAACTACTGGAGAGTTCTCTTCATATACTCATCTAGCAATACCAGAAAATATATAGATTGTTAATGGTACAACGCAGTCTGTAGTTGGTAAGGGTACAATGAGATGTATCAATCATATGACTTTGTCCAATATTTTGCATGCTCCTTCAGTTTTAGTAGACCTCTTATCCATTAGTTTCATTACTCTACAGCTAAAATGAATTGTTTCTTTTGATATTTCTCGAGTGATTTTCCAAGAGAAAGAAATAAGCCAGACACTTAGGATTGAAACGTGACATAGCAGACTCAGGTACTTAGGTCGAGTGGGGATTAACTCAACTGTGGCATCCATGGTGGAAAGTGCTGCAGTAATAGAATCTTAAAATGAACGTCGAAGATGTGTTACTGTTACATCACAGACGTATGGGAAATTATAATCTTAATTTACTAAGTCTGTTGGATTCATCTATGTATGAAAAGACAAATAACGAGAAAATGGACAAATAACGAGAAAAGGTGTGTGATGCTTGTGAGTTTGGCAAGCTCACTAGGAGTTCTTATGTGATTTCTAGGAAGAGGAGTTCCGGTGTGTTTGATTTGATACATTTTGATATATGGGGACAATGTCCAACTAGTTCTATGAATAGTTATAGTTATTTTGTTTCGTTTATTGATTGTTTTTTTCGTATTATCTTGACATACTTGATGAGGCAGAAGAATGAGGTGGTTACTTGCTTTAAAGATTTTCATAAGGCAATCCGGAGCCAATATGATACAGTTATGAAGGCACTGAGATCTGATAATGAGACAGAATATATCAACAAAACAATTGGGGACTATCTATTAGCTCAAAGGATACAACACCAAAGCACATGTTCATAAACAACAGCTGATAATGGAGTATCACAGAGGAAGAATCGGCATCTTCTAAAGGTAGCCCGAAGCATGATGATGGCAATGAAAATCCCATAGCTGTTATGGGAACAAGCAGTGTTGACAGCCGCTCAATTGATTAACAAGACGCCCTCAAAAGTCTTGGAGTAGAAGTCTCATTGTCAAATTTTGAAAGTAGATAATAGTGGGATCTTTCCATTGAGATGTGTATGCTTTGAGAAAGACAATAGACTATTTGTAGAGAAGTTGAATCCCAAAACTGTAAAATTCGTGTTCGTGGATTATTCCGCTACTTAGAAGAGTTATGTCTGTTGAAGCCTAATTGAGAAAAGACTCTTTGTGGGTATGGATATGTCATTCAAAGAGATTGAACCATATTATATTCTGGAGGTGAATTCACATTTCGGTGACTCAAAAGACGATGGAGATATGAGGCAAGAGAGAGTGAGTAATGGTGGTGATGGAGTTGTGCAAGTGAGAACGATGTCATGTCCTGTGATGTGAGATGAATCAATTAAGAAGAAGGAAACCGAGTTGATTGAACCCAGAGGTGGTGGGATTCATGCTAAAGATGAGTTAAGAGTGTATACACGGAGGAAGATGCAAACCAAGGGAACAAAGTCTATCGTGCCAACAAGTCGCTTGTCCTGCTTTTCCCCAACTCTTGAGACACCTAGATCATCTACCTTTGATTCAAAACTCTCAGGTGATACTATTTCTCCTCTGTCCACTCCTACACCCCCCCCACCACATTAAGGAGGACCTCCCGTAGCAATATACCCAGAGGTGGTGGGATTCATGCTAAAGATGAGTTCAATCAAGGGAACAAAGTCTATCTTTAGCATCATCTATACATACCAACTCTAAAATCAAGGAAACCGAGTATACATACATTCCTTTTATTTCTTATTCTAACATCTCACATTTGCATGGAGCATTCATTGCATCATTGGACTATATCTCTATGTCCAAGTGATGGCAGGTTGCTAAAAAAAATCCCAAGTGGAAAGCGATGATGCATGAAGAGCTTGGAGCTCTTGATGAAAACCAAACATTACCACTACCAGAAAGAAAGAAGCCAGTTGGATGCAAGTGGATCTTCACAGTAAAACAAGCTCCAGAAGAGAAGGTAGAGAGGTACAAAGCTCGACTAGTGGCAAAAGGGTACAGCCAGACATATGACATTGATTACGACGAAACATTTGCACCAATTGCAAAGATAACACGGTAAGGATATTGGCTTCTCTGACAGTGAATGATGGATGGAGACTCCACCAACTAGATGTGAAGAATATTTTTCATCAAGGGGAGCTACTAGAGGGGGCATATATGGAGATACCACAAGGATTTAGTACTTCCCAAATAGTGAACAAGGTGTGTAAGTTCAGGAAGTCACTCTATGGCTTGAAAAAGTCTCCTCGAACTTGGTTTGACAAATTTAGAATGAAGATGTTTGGGATGAGATATCAACAGATACAAGCAGACCGTACAGTGTTTTTTCGGCAACATAAATGTCACACTACCATACTTGTTGTGTATATGGATGACATAATTATCACTGGCGGTGATGAAACAGAGATTGTTTAACTGAAGAAAGGATTGGGGAAGCAATTTGAGGTAAAAAGGTGAAAGATCTAGGACAACTCAAATACTTTCTTGGGATTGAAGTGGTCCATGGACTTGAGGGGATAATCCTATCGCACTATCACAGAGAAAGTATGTATTAGATCTTCTCACGGAGACAGGTATGCAGAAGTGCAAGCTTGCAGTCTCTCCAATTGATCAGAAGGACAACCTCGGAGTCGGCAAAGATAGCTCAAGCCTTACTAGAATTGTGTGGTATGTATGTAAATGCCCCAAAAAAAACAATCAAAGATAGCTCAAGCCTTACTAGGATCATGCACAAATTGAACTTGACCATTATCATTCCAAGAAGAAACAGCCATGATTGACCTGCCAGAGTCGGCAAGTTTATTTAACCACATATAAGCCAAGAGATTCCAAATAATAAAAGTATAATGAATGTTGCATTGGATAACGTACTTATCTCGGTCTAATAATGCTGCTGTAGCTTCAAAATAATCAAAAAAATCAGGTGCGATCTCCATGTCATCTGCTTAGGGAAAGAATATATCATTTAAGGATATACAAACTGATGGATAACTAAAATTTTTAGAACATAGGAGTAAATCTCTAAAAGAGCACCTTCTAAAATAATTACTCGATCAAAATTATGCTTCAAAAATAATTCATCCAAGGCCCACTTGTAGTGTCCTGAACAGATAAGACCATTAAGAACAGAATTTTACAAAGTAATTGATAAAAAAATGGAAAATTTACACACACTTGCAATTTTATAGTATGCAATTAACTCTCCAGGTCTCTCTGTATGTACTGGTTCAAAATCCAAATGCTGCAATACCATAATCAATCATATTAGTCGACAACATTATCAGTAGTTCCTAGTTCACTTGGCATCTCTGGCATGACCTAGCAGATTCTAAGAAAAGTGTATTTTTTCTCCTAGACGTTGATGGAATTTTCATATCATGAACTTTAAAGGTTTTCCAGTAAAAGGGAAAGCGCAGGTGCTATATTTCTTTCTAAAATTAGCTGTCTCCACATTTTATATCTAGCTAATCAACATAAAACAAGTGTTCCCAATGATTTTATGAGGTTTAGCAGATATTTGAACTTGTTCCCCAAAGAATTTATCATTTTAGGTTACGTAAACTATATAAACAGTTAAAAATGGTTTAATTAACAGGTTATACTCCAAAATAGTATCCTGCTTATTTTCATGCGACTAATTCAGTAATAGTGTCACATTTCTAAAAATTTTCTATCAACTATACATAATTGATCCAGAATGATCCCTCATAGACTAAACAAGGATCAATTTTGTACAATCGAAGGAGTGAACTAGGATCAATTTTAAGGGATCATTTTGAATCAATTTTGTACAGTAGATGTATAAGACTGAAGAAATGTAATGTTTTGGGACTAAATTGATCACATATGAATAGCTGAGAGCGGCTATTTTAGAGTTTACTCTTTTAAAAATTGTGATCATCAACCTTTCAAAGGTTGCTTCTTACTAAATAGTATCATCCTCATATACATGTCTCCTACTTTTCTTGTTAGCCAAAGAAACAAAATAATCTACGCACAAGAAAAAGCAAATTGTGATGAATGTTCTAAACTGGAATGCAGAATACATGGTTAAAACAACAAAGGAAAATAAAAAAATAATCATACAAATTGTCTGCAGCATGTGTGGTTAAATCCTTCTCAATAACCATACAAGACTTATAGGAGCATTTGTTCAGCTTTTTTGGCCAGAAATCGAAACAGAATGGGTTTTTGATTGTTTGAATTGAGCGTTTTACCACTCCCATTGCAACCCATGGTAAATCCTGTTAAAAACACGAACACGCCATACAGGTTGCATCCCAACATTCCAGTTTTTTATTTCTCTGGTTTACCCTTGGCCCCTCTTTCGTGAAACAGCCCCCACCCGTCGTGCCCTAGCTTCATTTGACACTTTGCTTCGCCAAATGATTGCAAGAAAGGCTGCATCCATCTTAATTCTCTGTCCGCATCATCTTTCTCCCAAGGTAAAAACTAGATAATTGTTAATTGGTACACCTTATTATCTATAAGGGATCAGCTAGCAGATGTCTTTTACAAAGGGACTCAATAGCTAATTAATTCAAGAAATTATTTGTAAACAAAGGAAGATATTGGTTCACCAGCTCGAGGGAGAGTGGGGGTAGACATGCATATGCTATGAATCTTGTTGGAATGCATGGATTAAATCCAGAGGTGGAAATTAGAATCCCATTGATTCACGCCAAAGAGTCCGGATCTTAAAGATTCATGCTGAGAAAGAAAATACAATAACTTACTTTTTAAGTCTATATCTAAAGATTCATGCTGAGAAAGAAAATACAATAACTTATTTTTTAAGTCTATATCTATTTATATAGCTATAATTTATATAGCTATAAAAATTTCCTTATTTCATTCATAGATCAATCTTATATATTGGTTTGTATCAAACACTTTGTGAAATAAGAATAATTCAACTTATCTAATCACTAGCTATTGTTTTCAGGAAGTATTAAATCCAGTGAAACTGCCAACAAAATTCGTAGGGTTTCTAAGCCATAGCTATGAACTCCATTTTTTCTAGACAAGAAAAAAAAAATTGCAAACAACAAGCTATTTACGCATAAGCTATAAATTATACTATACAGAAATGATAAATTAGATTAGTTTAAAACCTGCATGTATGTTATCTGACTATAACTTAAAGCAGTTTTTTTAACATCTGGATTCGTCCCATCCTGCAAATCAGTGAGAATTTCATCAATTTGAATTTCACAACTTTCAATGTAGAACCAAAGAACTAAATACCAAAAAGGCAGACAAGCTACCTGAGATACAAAAAGAGGAAATTTTGACGTGACTGCACTCTGATACCTGAAATATTTCAGGGGCATTTACACACATGCCTCACAATTCTGATGTATTTACATATCTAACGCCTAAATATTCTTATTTAGGTGCATTCCACTCAAATCTTTAGCATCTTATCTAAAATACCACCAAAATTACATTTTTTAAATCGAAAAACACGTTGGTAATCATAGTTTATTATACTAAGGTGTTATAAGTGTAAATATCAAACTTTGGGTGGTGTTAGATATGTAAATACAAAAGAATTCCGTGGTATGTATGTAAATTTCCCAATGTCTTAATAAGAAAGCAAGCTATAATCTGTAGAAAATATGGCATCCTTGTGAGAAAGATGCAGAAAATAAACATGCACAATATCCAAAGAAAAGGGGCAACTGATAATTAAAGAATCTAACATACTTCAGCACAGATGAAATAGTCCTCTCCAGATAGTCTGGTCTATTGCAAGCCATTATCACAACTGCTGCCACAGGCACCTGTACAAGAAGATGAATATAATGATACTAATGTTGCATGCCTGCCAAACTTCAAATAAGGCGTAGTGTACAATCAAATAGACCAGAGGGTATATGAAAATTGCCAAACCATCAAAATCATGTAACATAACAAGATTAAATACATTTTCTGTTAATTCCAGGAATAATATTACCTCAAATTTTCCAGATATTCTTTGGAAGCTCTTTTCTGCAGCAATAATGGATTACATTAATTGAGAAACTGCAAGCTAAACTTATTAGAATAGTCAAAATAGCCCTTCACTGTTTACATGGGGCCATATTAATCTGAGAGTCTATAAAAGTGCCAAATTTATCCCAAATTTTTTAAATTGGGGCTGATAGAATTCTCTGTGGAGACTACTCAGCACATATTAAAAAGTCTGGGGACTAAAATGGGGACTAATTTGGCACTTTTATAGACTTTGGGACTAAAATGACCCATTGCAAAGAGCAAGGGAACTATTTTGACACTTTTCCCCTTATTAAAACAAGGCAACTACTTTACATGAAAAAGAAATCCACTAATTGTCTTCAATTGCATCCAAAACAGGATGCAAAGAGCAAGTGTTTCAAAATGAAAAATAGATGCATTAAACAGAGTAAAAAATGATCCTTTTACATTGAATAGCTACTTTGGTTGCGTTCTATGGTTTTGCAATTATAGAGAATGATAAATCCTACAACAACTACTATTTTATATTTAGTCCGCCTGAAATAGCACAGTAATCTAAAAGCCCATGTGAAAGTAGGGGAGAAACCCTCAATAACAAGTATTTCAAAAATTAGGGGCATTTACATACATAACCCACAATTCTTATGTATTTATATATTTGACAACTAAACGTTCATACTGACTTGCATGCCACTCAAAATCTTTAACATCACAACAAAAATAACACCATCATAGTCATTTTAATAGTGAAATACACCCTTTCGTGCATAATTTTATGATACCAAAGTGTTATGAGTGTAAACATCAAACTTTGGGTATTAGATATGTAAATCATATGGTATGTCTCTAAATTTCCCCAAAAATTACCATTACGATATGCCGAGTCCCTAAAGAAAAGAGAACTCAGAAGTGACCTTTATACAGTGAAAAAGCTGAATTCTTTAATAATCAGCAGCGTTAAAACAAGCGGCAAAATGCGATAAAAACCATACTTTCAAGATCCCGGACAAGAGTCTTCAGTTGAGCAGACTCCTCTTCATAACGTCTATTCAAATCTGAAATTGAAGGAGACAATTACAGCCTCAAAAGTGCAAAGCAATGATAGATAAATATAGGGGCATTTACATAAATAGCATAAATTCTTATGTATTTATATCTCACACCTAAAGTTTCACATTTACATGCATAGCACTCAAATATTTAATGTCACATTAAAAATAGCACTATTACCACTTTGTGAAAAACACCTTTTCATGCAGGGGTTTAAAGCACCAAAGTGCTATCTATGTAAATATGAAAGATTAGGTGTGAGATATGTAAATGCATAAGATTTGTATGCTATGTATGTAAATTTCCTAAAATACGGAATCAAATTTTGTGTTAAATGAAGGTAAAGTCACTGTGATTAACAACGAATCTTCTCATGTCCAAGAAGCTTCTATACATGCCACTATTGAATTTTAAAAGCCTGTGCCTTTTGTTCTTACCAAAGTCTAAGGGGATGACCGATCGGGTGTATTAAGAATACAAATATTTTAGAGCAAAAGAAATGTAAGCTAATTTGATTTTCAGAAAATATTAGCATGGATAATACTTAAATACAGTAAAACTGTCTTTTGTTGCTTATGATAAAACCTTTTCGAAATATAAATGTAAATAAAAATGTAAAAAGGATTTGCACCTTCTAGATTAACAATTTTCTCTTGTTGCAGGCTTATCTGGTCAATTAACAACCGGGTATGGCTCCTACACTGATTTTCAGCTCCAATCTGTTTGCATATCAAGGGTTATCAAGACAGTTGTGAAAAGGCATATTTAGTCAAAGTAAAGACCCGCTATTTTTTAAAAAATTTTAAAAAAATATTAATAATATTATTAATAAATAAACAATAAAATTTCATAAAGAACAAACACTTAAAAAGAAATGATTAAAATGAAAAATTTTAAGAAAATAAATGACAAATTATTAGTTTAACTAAAAATGTATTTATTTAAAAAAAATTAATAGCACAGGATTAATTTGTAAAATAATTAATAAATATTAAAATAAGATAGATATAGGTGCATGCATGATTTTTAATTTAAAATAAATATCTTTTATTTTTATTTAAAATAACTTACCAAAACACTAAGCACCTATTTTTTTAGTATGTGCATTGTGAATTAAGCGAAGTTGATTAACGAGCTCATAATTGTAAGAACCGAAACTTTCCTTTTTTTTCTTTCCTCGTAATCCTGCTCGCAATGCTTTCCTTATTGGCGACGTCACTTTTCGTCCCCGATCCAAAGCTTTCTTTTCCTACTTTCGATCGTTCTCCCACAGTCTCTTTTGATTATTTAGGGAAGACGAAGGTTTTGGGCATCACAACTCTCTCCCTATAGCCACACCTCCTAATTTCGCCCAAGACAGTCGCCTTTATGAGTGCATCTTTGTGATACAGTCGCAATTAGAGTTAGCTGGGAAGGCAATGACGGGATTGCTCCATCAATTTGCAATGTCCACGTCTGGTTACTAGCGATGGTTCTTTCATTTAGCTCGAGTGAAATATGCTAAGAAATATATTATCGCTTTTGCTTTGTTCTCTATTCAGGGTATGTAAGAAATATCAAACTCGCTGAGCTCCACTGCCCACTTGAGGGTTCGACTGGAATGATCAGACTGAGTAAGAATGGATTTGAGTAGAAGATTGGTGATGACCCAGACTAGATGAGTTTGAAAATATGGTCAAAGCCTGCAAGAGAAACATTGAGGGCAAAGGTTAGCTTTGCCATAATTGAATATCCGAATTCGACTCCACTAAGGACTCGGCGAGTATACTAAACTGGGAACTGCTTCCCCGGCTCCTCTCCAACTAACACTGAGTTGATGGCTTAAAGACAACTCCCATGTATAGAGAGAGTTCTTCATTCGGCTTTGGACTTTGGAGAAGTGATGACGACGCAAGTGAGTTCTTCAACTTGAATGCTTGCCCGCACTGATCTGACCACTCAAAGTTCTTTACTTTCCTTAGCGCTTTGAAGAACGATATACACATGTAGCCAAATTTAGACATGAATCGGCTCAGACTTGCGATCCAATCTATTAGCTTTTGTACTTGCTATGTGTTCCAAGGGAAAGACATATTCAACAATGACTGTACTTCTCTGGATTGGCCTTTATTTCTTATGGAGTCAAGATTTTTGTGGAAGCTCTGAAAGTGCACTTGAGTGGATTTAATTTCATGTCATATTTTCTAAGGGTTTGAAATGTTTCTTTTAAGTCTTTTATGTGTTATTCAATCGATTTGCTTTTACCCAACACATCATCTGCATCTGATTTATTTCAAGTTATATTTAGCTTCTCTCTCGCTATCTCTCGTTCTCACTTGTTCAATGGTTTGAATGAGGGGAAGTGTGGAAGAAGCATGTGATTTATTTCCAGCGATGGGGTGTGTCTTCTCTAAATACACTTTTTTGTGTTTATTATTACTATTTTAACTCGTTATTACACACGCATCACCTTTTGAATTCTTCATCCAATATAAAGATAGCTAATGACACTCTTCTTTCATCTGGATATGTCACGCTGTCTAGTACCTTTTCTATCATTCATTAGTTCTCTGCTTTATATATATTTATATATATGTATATATAGGAATGGCCAGAGGCTATTATACGAGTCTCCAACCACTTCTAATGTGTTTAACAATTCGAGTACCACCTCATTAAGGCCAACTGTGTCAAAGGGGATTCGAAACCACCACCTGAGGGGTCTTATGTCGTGGATGTCAACCAATAGGCCGGTATTTGAAAATATTGCTCCCCGTATGTGCTAGCCATCCTCGTAGAGACCGAACCCGGGTCAGAGGGTCTTACGAACCCCCACCTGAGGGGTCTTATGTCGTGGATGTCAACCAATAGGCCGGGATACGTGGCCCACACACACACACACACACATAGATATGATAGCATTAAAAGATTGTCACCCAATATGGTAACCTATAAATATCTACATAAAAGTGCATGTGTTCAAGTCACTAATATTCCTTATCATAAGCATATAAAAACCCTTTTGCATATTTTGTTATGTATATAATAAATCATTCCTATTTATTGTATTGCATGCCTCATTTTTTGTCGTTTTTGTTTTGATGAATATTTGTCCTTTATTGAATTTAATTTATCACTCACTCATTTATATTTTTATAACATGTTTCACCCAGCTACTTACCGGACCGTCTCTACTAAAGCAGACTTTCCAACTTTAGATTTATTTTTTATATCTCAAGTTCGTGTTAGTTATTGTATTTTTCTCTATGTCTGTTTAGTTATTTCTTTACTTTTCATTTTCATTTCTTTCATTTATCTCATTTTCTTTCAGTTGCAATAACTTGACTTATTTATGAAAAAAAAATTCTTGTTTCTTTTCGTTATTACTTGCATTTTTTTTTCCTTTGAGAATATAAAATAGGTTCAATTCATTTTATCATGTCCAGTGTTTTTGGGGTGTGCCACCTTCTAGACCTGGGGTGTGATAATAATAGAAAAATAAGCAAGAGAGAGTAGGTGAGCAGGAGTCAAAGAGCAAACAAGTGAGCTAGAGAGGATAGAGTGGGGGTGTGTATGAAACAGAGTGTGTCTGTGAGAGAGAAATAAAGGGAGCAAGCACGCAAAGCAACTGGAGCAAGCGAGCAAACAAAGAGGAGAGCAAATCAGCCGAGTTCGAGCTTGAGTGCCCGTGCAATCAAGTGAAAAAAACTAGGCGGGGTGCAAATACAAACAGCAAGAATGTCAACTTGAAGTAAATTTATGTGATTTTCCCTTTTCTTCCTTGTTTCTCCACAATATCAGAGAATAAAAGCATAAACCCTAACAAAATAGGTTTCCACTTTTTTCCTTTATGAACTAGATTTGAAATCCAGTTTTTAGTTCCTATGCATAGGAATGATGTTGAAAATTCAAATTAGGACTTACTATATTTTGAAGCTTGATTATAATATATATATATATATATATATATATATATATATAAGTTGATGGAAATTATATATATATATATATATATATATATTATCATGATTATATAAGCTAGTGGTTGAGAGCTTTATGTTTCAACCAAGAGGTCTTTGCTTCAAGATTTTGCACATGCAGGGTGCGTGCATAGGTGTTTGGGCATGAGAAAAGAGATTATACATGTAAATTACAATCAAGTATTATCTCAATGTCAATGAAGTTATAATAATAGATTTTTTTTGTTTATGGTTTATGTATTTATCATGTTAAAACATATATATGAGATATTGGCACGATGTGGAATTTTATTCAGGTAATCATCAAGAGAAATTTTAGACATCAATAAACCAAGATTGGAATTTAAGAAAACAAATACTGCACTTTTCATGAAAAACAGTGAAAAATAAATTACACTAAAATTTCTATTTGATAACTAAATACAGATTAAAAAAAAGTATAAATAATTATGCATAGTTATCATATTAATAAACATGGTAGACATATGATAAAAAGAGATGTTTAAATATAGGTGTTCAATAATTTATCTATTTAAGTCGCATTGTTATGTAGCACTATAATTTTTTGTAAATAGGAAAAATAAGGTTAAATACAAAAAATCAAAAAATATGGCATAGATTTTTCTTAAAAGCCTAATTTACTTGAGTTATTCATTAATCATGATATTTAAGTTCATTGCATCACCTATCTATGTAAATTGGTTTAAGAGATAGAAATCCTTTTGCTTAAAGAATGATTATGTTATTAACAAATATGAGGCATGAATTTATAATATATTAAAAGGAAATTTATGATTAAAGAAATTAAGTTAATTAATATGAATATCTAAGAAGTGATTGTACATATGGGTAGGCTAAAAGAGGTGATGTTTAACTTCAAAATTTTCATATTACTAAATTATAGTAAAAATGTCTTTCTTCTAAACTTGAAGTATCGAATGATAATGTTATTATATAAGTTCATTTAATTATATAGCATTATTGTTGCAACATTATTAATTATGATTTATCTCTAACACTGTAAATCCTTCTTCATATTGAAATAAATGGTATATGTTTCATGTTATGTGCCACTTATTCAGAATACATGCTTTTTCTATTATTATTTAAAATGTCTCATCTCATTTTCTTCTCCCTCTCCCATACTATGCCAATCCTACTAACTCGCGGCCAGTTAGTTACAAGATATAAATCGGTACCAATTGGGCAAGAGGAGCATCTTGAATAATTTTCATAATATGTATAATGAAATTAATACAAGATAATTGATATCTAAAAATATTTGTATCCCCCATCACGGTACCTTTAACCATCAGCATTACTAGAGTCCTCTACTGTGTGTCCTCTGTTACAGATCCAAGGATAGAATAAGAAGGTTGCTAGTCAATCTTTGAGATAGGGTGAGCAATGGAATAAAAAAAAAATCATGCAAATAATAATCAGTCCAGAAAAAGCATGAAAATGAGTTCAAAAAAAGCTGTTTGTTGTCTAGTTTGACTTTTTTTGGCTTGGCTCATCAGAAACCAAACTTGTTTGAGCAAAATTTTCTAAATGATCAGATCATATAATCATCTGAACTTAAGGATGGGGTAGTTTAATCCTTATTTAAACCTAGATCAAGAAATTTAGTTGGTTTACCAAAAAAAATTAATACTAATAAATATAAATTTGCAGCGAAATAACATTTCAAAATGTATTTGGACACAACCTAGAGGAAAGTCTCAATCATTAATATCGTGTAGCAAGTATGCTCCAAAACCAATGGGCCAATGTTAAATATTCTTCTTAGTGCATCAAGGAACTAGGGTTTAGGAGTCCAACTAATGCAGTTTATCTATCGTCTGACTCGTAAAGATCTGGATAGAAAAAAATTTCTTTATGTATTTGCATTAATTAGTATTCCTTTCTTTATATCATTTTTTTTTTAATTCTCATAGGTGTTATCATGTAAAAAGAATTGTGGTCGGTATGCAAATGCCCCAAAAATCAAAGCTTATTCAACCAAATCTTAGGCCGTTTGGAGTTAACAGCCATTAGCAAATCAGCCGACATCTCATGCTTGTTATCTAAGAACTAAAACAATTTCAACTGATCATGATAATAACCATCATAATTAAAATCATTTCCTACATGGCTGTCCCAAATATTCTCGTTGTTAGCTAGCAAGTGCATGCATTCTGCTTAGTTGAGAAATCATTTCTCAATTTAAAAGCACAAGAATAAATAGATAATACGAATTTCTATCCATTCAAACATAATCTTGCAGTTTATATAAACTGGGTTAAATGATAGACAGACTTGGCAACTTACAGCAATTGCCAGGCGCTCTGGGTACTCCGTTTGGGTTGTGTAAAGGTGGACCTAAAGATTATTGCCGATTCAGAAACCGGAGAGTATTCAGAAAAATAATGACTGATCATGCTCAATGAACCAAAACTGTAAGTTGCTGCTACTAAATATTTCGTAAAGCAAATTGGTTACTGGGGATTCAAAACGATATCAATCGGGAACTGTAGCTCGATCTCGGGATCAGTACCTGGAGAAGAATGAAGACCAACGCGGCGGCAATAAGGATGAATCGCATGTCGCAAAAATTCCACGCCATGATCAATCGGCTGCCAAACAGCAGTGGGAGATCGGAGCACTACCCTGCAAAGAATAGCTGCCTGCTGCCTGCTGCCTGCTGCCTCCAAAGTGGTAAGTTAAACAACTCAAATATCATATATGTTTTTCTTTCCTAGTGATGAAATTATAGACTTGAACTTATTGGTATATTTGAAACAAATTTTCTTTTACATTGTTAATATGCTAGTTTTATTTATTTTTTATTATTTGGAGCGATTTGATACATGAAATATTTAATATTTCTTATTTCAATAAGATTATCTTGATTGTGTCTTGATGAATGAATTTTTATCTTTTTATTTTTTCTCTTGGTTAAGATTGATTTATTTATCACTACTTGTACAATTATATTGTATTGGTTATACTGAGATAAATCAGTGCAACTGATACAACACAGTTATACTTAATGAAATAATGCAATGTTATATATGCTGTAAAAAATAGTAACATAAAAAATAAAAATAAAAAATTGTATATAGAACGAATGAATTTGTAAATTTTGTTTTTTTTTTCGTTGTTAGGATTGACTGATTTATCAATATGCGTACAACTATGGTGTACTATTAGTATTGTTTTATCTTAGTACAACTGACGCAATACAGTTGTATCAATTGGAATAATGCAATGTTGTATAAATAAAAAAAAACGTAACATAACAATAAAAAAAATGTATATGAAACAGATGAATTTGTAATTTTTGTTTTTCCTCGTGGCTAGGATTGATTGATTATTACTACTTGTACAATCATATTGTATGAGTTGTATTGATCTATCTTAGTACAACCGATACAGCATAGTTGTACGAAATGAAACAATACAATGTTTTATATGTTGTAAAAATCGTATCATGAAAACAAAAATAAAAAATTTCTATACAAAAATATTGAATTTGTAATTTTTACTTTTCCCTTGGCTAGAATTGGTTGATTTATCACTAATTGTACGAGCATGTTGTATTTGTTGTATTGGTTTATCTCAGTATAACAATGCAATGTTGTATCCGTTATAAAAAAAATTGTATCATAAAAAATATTATATGTAAAAAAGATAAATTTGTATTTTTTTTTATTTTCCTTGTAGTTATGATTGGTTGTTTTATTACTACTTGTGCAATCATGTTGCATTGGTTGTGTTGGTTTATCATTGTACAGTTGATACAACACAGTTGTATTGAATGAAACAACGCAATGTTGTATCCATTGTAAAAAATTAAATATAAAAAGGATGAATTTGTAATTTTTTTTTCGTGGCTAGGATTGTTTAATTTATCACTGCTTGTACAACCATTTTGTATTGGTTATACTAGTTTATCTTAGTACAACCAGTACAACACGGTTATACTAAATGAAACAATGTAATGTTGTATCTCTTGTAAAAAATCATAGCATAAAAAAATGAGTATATAGAAATGATGAATTTCTATTTTTTTTTTCTTGTGGTTAGGATTGACTATTTTATCACCGCTTGTACAATCATATTGTATTAGTTGTACTGATTTATCTCAATACAACCATTATAGCAAAATAGTGACGAAGGGAACAATACAATATTATATCTCTTATAAAAAACATAACATAAAAATAAAAAACAAAAAAAATTTTATAGATTGGATGAATTTGTAATTTTTGTTTTTTTATTATTTATATGATTAGTTGATTTATTACTACTTGTACAAGCATATTATATTGGTTGTAATGATTTATATCAGCACAACTGATACAATACGGTTGTACTGAATGGAAGTAAGTAATGTTCTATTGGTTGTGTGGTTTATTTTATCTTGAATTTGTAGGACTTTATGTTGAAACTTGTGCGTGATGAATACAATTATGAAAATTATAAACCAACTACAGAAAAATTGTTTTACACGGTTGTGCACAAAAAAAAAAAACTAATGATTTTTATTGCTCTTATGCCAACTCTTGTGGATTCAGTGTAAGAAAGGATCATGTGTGAGCTAATGATATATTACCGATTAGGTACAAGGATGTTGACCATACTTTTAGGTGAGGGTTATGGGTCTTTCCTTTAGTGAATAGGATATAGCATTGAGAGTTTCCTAATAACTATCTTAGCATCTTAAAAATGGTATTCACCTTTTCTTTAGATATTTCAACCAAATCTCTGTTCTTTATGTTGGTTCTATATGTGATTAATAATATTTAATACAAAATTAGAGATTACATAAGGGAACCGTGATGAGTATTCCTATAGGACCTATGAACCATAGGAAAGTCTTGCACTGCTCTACACCTTTTTGGACTTCAATACATTGCATCATTATTCATAATCATCATAAACATTGTCTTTTCGTATCATAATGTTGCAATCATTACACATGTGGGGCTTACAAAAATTATTTGAAAACAGTTTCCCATAAAAACCTCACTTGAATATTCTAATTCTTCAAAATTTCCCAAAATTGTCTTTGAATCACAAAGTCCGCTTCAAATCATTTGATATTATCCTTTAGACCATTTGAAACCTAAAAATTGCAAAAATACCCAATTTTCCTAAAAAGTACCAAAATGCCCCCGGGCCTCTAAAATATCAAATTTTCGAAACCCCACAGAGTCACCGATAAGTTCTAAAAATCACACCAAATCATTCTTTATATATTTCTGAGAATTTTGACTGTAATCTTGTTATACTTCTGAACAACTTTTTTGCACATCAACACAAAAATAACAAATACTTAAAAAATACTTCGGGGATCATTAAATCTTCCACATTGATCGAAAAATGACCCCGAACACAGTCGTTTGACTCTAAATTTTCTTGAACCACCTCAAGACTTTAAATCAACATTTTGACCTCCCTGACCAAAGTCGGCCAAAATTACCAAAATGTCACTCATTGAAAAAAAAATTCTCAAATCCTCCAAAATCATTTCAAACACCCCCAAAATAAAGTTTTGACTATCCATTGGATCCAATCTGACCAAATTCACTGACTTTGGCAAAAATCCTCAAATTGAGCTTAATGATCAATCAAATACCTCAATTTCAAATTCACATCAAATTCAACATGTTTAGATCCATTTCAATTGAATCCAAATCCATTTAATTGACCCATAATCAATATCCAAAATGATCGATTGCGAACCAAAAATTTGACGAAAATTAATTTTGACGTATTTTTGATCTGATCGCAGAAAAAGTGATTTGAACGACCCCGGACGACGAAACAGACTGTGTGATCGCGTCCATAACGTTGATTTTATCTAAGAGAGACGTTCATTTCACCACGAGGCCATGTCCAGGTAAAAAATACGGGGAAGACGGCGGCCGGCCCCCACCCCCCCTCCCCCCCTCCCCCCCCCCCCCTCTCCCTCTCTCTCTCTCCCTCTCTCTCTCCCTCTCTCTCTCTCTCATGCATGCACCTAAAAAATATATATTAATCCAATACTATTCAATCGGTTATCACACGTGCCTCTCTCTCTCTCAGCTAGCTAGCTCTAGGATTTAAAAAAAAAAGGCCAAAAAATTTACAAAACACTATCTCACTCCCTCTCCTATATAAGAGCCCCTCCACCACCTTCTTCTTCGCCAAGCAATCTAAGCTCTCGCACTCCCTGCTCTTCTCCAGTGCTCCCTTCTTCTTCTTCTCCAACGAGCTTCCCTCGGGCAAGCCTTCCTCCCTTCGGTAAAGCTTTGATCGGGCGAGAGGAGGAGATTTACATGCATACCACTGAATTTATTTGTATTTGCATGCTGGCCAAAGAGAGATTTACATGCATGCCACTTTATTCTTATAATTTACATGTTTACGTATCTACCACCTAAGCTTTAACATTTACATGCATACCACTTTTGTATTCTCACCGAAATAAAAAAAAAAAGGAGTTTTTCATACATACCACCCAATTCCTATGTATTTGCAATGTTTAAACTTACATGCATACCACTCAATTTTTATATATTTGCATGCGGGAAGCACAATATACATATATATATATATATATATACAGGAAAATTTACATGCATGCCACCTAAATCTTGTGTATATGTATATCTAATGCCGAAACTTTGATATTTACATATGTATCTACATATTTAATGGCAAAATTTTGATACTTACAAGTGTGACACTTAAATCATGTGTATTTACATGCTCGACATTCAAATTTGAATGATTTATGTGCACTACTCGTCTTTTTATGAACTTACATATTTAACATCGAAATTTTTATTCACATGTATGTTACACAATTTTTTTATGAATTTACACGTCTAATGTTTGAAATTTGACAATATTTATATATGTCTCAAACATGTCTAAGGCTTTAGATATTCCTACACACCATTTAAATTATGTGAGTGGTGTATGTGATATGATAATATGCCACCTCGATAAGTAGAACAATAGAGTATTTTTTATTTAAATAAATACATAAACTTTAAAAATACATATCTTGATGTAAAAAAAAAAAATCATAAGAATAAAGTAAAAATACCACTAAACTCAAAAAACGAAGACGGATCTAAAAAAAATTAAAATAAAAAAAAAAGAAATTGTATTTTTGTTTAAAAAAATATTAATAATAATTAAAATTTTCAAAAATATAAATATGTCTCAAAAAATCACAAAAATTGTCCAAGAAAACCACTTTGAAACACTGTCATAAAATTTTCAAAGTCAGAAAATATGTTTTCAATATCTATGTCTATTTTTCTATAATATCACTAATTTTGGCTTAAAGTAATTTTAATAATTAAAATATAAATATAGAAATATATATAAAATTTGGCCTAATAAGTTTTCTAAGGTCATGGGCACTTAAATAAAATGAAATTTTAATTAAAATAAAAAGTTCATTTTTAAGCATTGAAAAATAATTAAAATAATAAAAAAAACCATAAAATTCAAAATATCTCAAAATGTGACCAAATTTTCCTTGATGAAGGACATTAACTTAAAAAATGCTTTCCTGAATTTTTAAAGACTAAAAAATGTATTTTAAATACTTAAAACTATTTTTCAATGTATTTGTAATTATTCACTAAAATAATTATAATAAATAAAATAAAAAATACAAAATTGAGCTTGTTGAATTCCTTTATAAGATTTAAGATGTTCTATAAGACATTCAAGTCAATCA